GTGGCTGGCGCCTTAGCCGGTTGAGCTATAGGCGCCGAGCCTATTGAGAACTTTTTGGACACGAGGCTAAAAATACAAAGGGAAGTGTTAGAGGACCTCATATCAGGCTAAGGCATTAAATGTATAAGATATCAAAAGTTACTATTTTTTGAGATTATTTTTATTTCCCTTATAACTTATGCATACGAGGGTTGGATGCAGTGGCTCATGCCTGTAATCTCAGCACTTTGGGAGGCCAAGACAGGTGGATTGCTTGAGCTCACAAGTTTAAGACCAGCCTGAGCCAGAGCGAGACATCGTCTCTAAAAATAGCTGGGCATGGTGGCAGATCCCTGTAGTCCCAAGTACTCGGGAGGCAGAGGCAAAAAAATCACTTGAGCCCATCAGTTTGAGGTTGCTGTGAGCTATGATGCCACAGCACTGTACCCAAGGCAATAGCTGAGAATCTGTCTCAGGAAAAAAAAAGAAAATTAAAAAGAACTGAAAAAGAAATATAAATATTTCTAGGGAGCTGAGCATGGTGGTGCCCATAGTCCTAGCTACTGAGGAGGTTGAGGCAGGAGCATCTTTTGAGCCCAGGAGTTGAAGGCTTCAGTGAACTGTGGTAACAGATCTGTACTCCAGCCTGGGCAATAGAATGAGACTCTTGAGTGGATTGTTTGAGCTCAGGAGTTTGAGACTAGCTTGAGCCAGCGCGAGACCCTGTCTCTGAAAATAGCCAGGTGTTGTGGCAGATGCCTTTAGTCCCAGCTACTTGGGACAATAAGGCCAGAGAATCGCTTAAGCCCAGAGTTTAAGGTTGCTGTGAGCTATGACGTCTACAGCACTCTACCAAGGGTGACAAAGTGAAACTGTGTCTCAAAAAACAGAAAAAGAACATTGTCATCCATAATCTCATTGCCCCATGGTTACTATTTTGATTTTGACTAATCTTTTCCTAGCCTTTTCTTTCTTTCTTTCTTTCTTTCTTTCTTTCTTTCTTTTTTTTTTTTTTTGAGACAGTCTGTCTATGATGCCCTAGGTAGAGTGCTGTGGCATCCCAGCTCACAGCAACCTCAAACTCTTGGGCACAAGTGATTCTCTTGCCTCAGCCTCCCAGTAGCTGAGACTACAGGTGCCTGCCAAAGTGCCAGGCTATTTTTTTTTATTGTTGTCATTGTTTAGCAGGCCCATGCCAGGTTCATACCCACCAGTCCTGGTGCATGTAGCCCACACTATAACCACTGAGCTATAGCTGCTAAGCCCTAGTCTTTTCTGCATTCCTATAAGCAAACCTCTGGCCTCAGCCTCCTGAGTAGTTGGGATTACAGGCGTGTACCACCATTCCCAGCTAATTTTTTTTAATTTTTGTAGAGGCAGGGTCTCCAAATGTTGTCTAGGCTGGGCTTTTTTTTTTTTTTTTTTGAGACAGAGCCTCAAGCTGTCCCCCTGG